TTGGTGCAAAAAGAATGACTCATCATATGATTCCACTTATCATATGACCAATCTTTTAATTGATCGTAACGATAACATTGTAAAAATTAGACTTAATCTTAAAAATCAAACAAAAATTATTGAATATTTTAAACAATAATACTTAATAAGGATTGATTTCAACTGCAAAATAAAGTTTTTGTATAGAGTTTTAATAAAGAGCTTTTTTCGAACAGTAGTGAACGAGAACAACAAAAATTCAATTTATATTATTTTAATTAATTAAATTTTTGGCTGACCATACAGCTGTTTTGAGTATTGCGAAATACCAATCATTAGTGGTCTTGGAAATAATTCCTGTGTTTATTTATTCGTAAATAAGTTTTTTTGAGACTGCAAGTACCAGGAATCGAACGCGAGTCCAGCCAAATGTGAAGCTCAGACTCAGCACATCTAAACAAAGCCGTACTTGACTTTTATGTTTTTGTTAGAGTTTTAATTTTTTGATAATTTTTTTATAGAAATAAAAAAATCCGCAAATTAGAACTTTTCTCAAATTCGAACTACCCGAAAAACCAAGTGATTCTAATATGCGAGACTCTACTGTATTAAGTCGGACTTCCCTAGAAAATACTGTTTTTGATATTCTAATGAAGTCATTTAAAATTTTACACAAGAACTGGCAAAATTTGCTTAATTGTTTTGAAACAAAATTAATAAATAAAATAACTAAAGACTACAAGTAAAAATTATTTTTAACAAATGATTTCTGTATAAAATGTCAACCAATTTAACTTGTCCAGATTTCAATCACAGCACATTTTGAACATTTTGAACATTTTGAACATTTTTCGCAACAATGAAATTTTTGTGAATTACTTGACGCATATTGTAAACTTGTAAACTTTCTACAAAACAATTTCAATAAAATTTCTAATTCGCATTTCATCTACTGTGGCTGTCGTTTCACTGCTTCTTCTTCTTCTGCCGCTACTGTTAGTGCCACTGTTGCCGCTGCTGTTACTGCCACTGTTGCCGCTGCTATTTAACTTTTATTAAATGCTAAACAATTTCCTAACAAACTTCTGAGCAGAGCTCAGTACATTTACTAAAAACAATCCAGCTGCATACAAAAACAGAAACAAAAATAAACAGAACAATTTCTGTTTTTCATTTTTTTGTTTTTTTTTCTATTTTTATTCATAAAATTTTTTTGGTTTTTTTTTTGTTTAATTTTTATTTTCTGCAAAACTTTGAAAGTCATTTTGTGATATTTTGCTTTTGGCAATTTAAAAATTTTGGTTTACTTTCAGTTTCGACCAAGTGGCAGCCGGCTTCCTCCTTGCAAATCATTAGCATTGAATGAGCTCAATTCTGCTCTTAATTGGAAATTGTTTCGCTTATGACACGTTTTTCAAATTATAATAGAAAAAAAGGGTTAATGACGTTTTTAGGTAAAGTTTAGTAAAGTTGCCTTTATGTAGGCGAACTGAAACAATTGTTGCGTTCAGGCAAATATCTCGAGAAATTATTAGAAAAATTTTGATGGAAATGTTTTGAACTTGATAAGTATGTAATTTCTCCAATAAAAAAAGCAAAAAATCTTTGACATAGATATTTTCAACTTCAATAAATCGGAGTACATAAATACGTGTATTTGTTACTTTTGGTAAAAATGTTATTGATACTCGATTAGATCCATATATAAGTGCCAAAGCCAAGATTGTGTCAAAGTATGTACTAGAAAAGATTGTGTGAGTATACACTATGTATTATACACATAGTCAAAAATTGAACAAAGTGAGTAGACCATGTAACTCGTAGCAGTGACGAACATATGCCGGAAATCATATTGATAAAATAAATGCTTAGAAATTATCTACCAGATTTGAAGCAGACCAGACTTCCAGTCACATTCTCTGTGATAGCCCAGCCTTGATCTGGGCCAAGAGGAGTTCACTGTTCGATTAGGGTCTGCTGCAGCACGAAAGATCAACAATGGCCGCAGTGCTCCGCTCCGCTGAGAGCTGGTACATCGTTTATTCCTATTCCTATATCTACCAGATTATAATAAAAAAAATTTCATTCTAATAATATTTCCGTCTTGTATTAACATTTTAAGTTCACATGCAGCTAAAAAAACACCCAATATATATTTTAGGTATATACTACAAAAAAATTTGATTTGGTGAAGGTTTTGTAGTGTACTGTCTGTAGATTACATGGTCCAGATGGGTTGATTTATACACTAATTTATCTTTAAGATATACAGATAAACTCAAACTCATATACCCAACATATCATAAACCCAAGTTATTTGTTCTTTTTCATACTTGTATGTTTTCCAGGACGTCATGGGACATAGTTGTAGTAATTTATGGAGGATAATATCTTGAAAACTAAACTATATTGACATAACAGTTTTTATGTGAATATTTTCAACTTTAAGGGATATTATCTCGAAGACTAACTTATGTTGACACAATAGATTTCATATGAATATTTTCAACTATATTGACAGAACAGTTTTTATGTGAACATTTTCAACTCTAAAGGATAATAACAATCCTAACTATCAATTCGTCAAACTAACCAATATTGACGCTTTAGTTTTCATGTGAACATTTTCAACTTTTAAGGATAACATCTCGAAAACTAATCTATATTGACAAATGGCAAAATACACACATTCTAATATTATATTCTTTGAATCGTCTAATAGTTCAAATAATATTTGACGCACTAGTTTTGATGTAAATTTATTTTACTCTAAAGTTTGATATCTTGAAAACAAATCTATAATGACACAATAAATATTTGGAACTTTAAAGCCTGATATTTACTAAAAACTGACATATATTAATTTATAGTGTAGTAAAAAGAATAGGTGTCCTTACTAAAGTTCATTACTAAAATCAAATAGGCAGGCTTGAGACATCGAATCACTGCTTGAACTATATTTTAAAATCTAAAAATATATACTTACAGTCTAATTTAAAGTATCTTATATAAAGTGCAATTAATATATCTAATTTAATGTGCTTAGTAGACAAACAGGTAAGACAAAAATGTTTAATGAATCTAAGGAGAAACTACTAGAGTATATATTTTTACAAATACACAATATATTAAAGACAACAAAGATTGGAAAAATTTCAGATTTTACATATATCATATTTACATACATATTATATAAAACAAACGCTTGAAAAAAATATAAAATAGATGAATTCTATATTTCAATAAAAATGCATTGATTGAAGATACACAAACGCCAACTTTTTTGCCAAGTACCAAAATTGAAAACCAATTATTTAAATATTGTTTGCAAATAAAACACAATTTAATTTATTTTTCTATTTTTAACAAATTTTTACTTTTTAATTTAAAAAATTTTTTGTTTACAAATAAATTTTAAATTAAATTATTTATCGAAAAAACAACAAAAAAAGCAAAAACAAAAACAAAAGGGAAACAATAACAGAAAAGTGCTTAAAATGAATTTTAACATTATTTGTATGTGTGTGTTTGTCTGTATCTGTGAGTTACTCCATTCAAGTAGGACTTTTTTTCCAAATTATATAATTGATTTTAAGAATTTTAATTTTTTTTTTAAGTTAAACAGAAAAGAAAAAAATTTTTTAAATATTCTTTCTTTCTACTTAAACGCATACTAGACCGGCGGGCATTTAAACAATTTTCGAATTTACGGAATTTTTTTTTATTTTATTTTATTTTTGTTTTTTATTAAATCTCAAATTGAATTTAATTTCTTGGCCAAATGTTGTTATAATTTCAAGAGGATACCATTTTTCAAGCGTTTCTATGGCATCCAACACCCAACATTATTTTATTTACTTTTTACAATATAAATATTATTTACGCAATTTAAGAGTGAATTATGTGGAAAAATGTTTTGTGCAAAAAGAAAATTAAGATTTTTAGATATTCAGAAATTTAGAAATTAAGAAAGTAGTGCTGAGAGAAAGTAGTTACAGAAAGTACAGCAGATTCAGAATGAAAAGCCAAACTAGATAGAGTATTACATGCTACGTTTAACTACAATAATGTATTGCTTTGTTCTTGTGAAATTAAGGATGTTCTTTAAATAAATATATAAATAAATAAATAAATAAATTAAATTTAATAAATAAATAAATAAATTAAACTAGAAACTAATTGCCGTTTACATCTCAGCAGCATCCTGCAAGCGGCAAACTAACTAGCGCCGCATATTCATAAGATAAATTTATGTAAGGATGCTGCGCTCTTAGTTTGCCAATTTGCAAATGCAGTTTCAACAAATTGTGCTTTTTGTTTTCAAAATTTTACAATTAAATTTTGTTTTGTAGATTTTTAGAATTTTATAGAGTTTTCAGTATTTTTAGAATTTTTAGAATTTATAGAATTTTTTAAAAATTTTTAAAGTTTTCAAAATGTTCAGAATTTTAGCTTTTAAGATTTTTAGTTTTTTTATATATATATATATATATATGAATATTGTGCAAATTTGTGCAAGATTTTAACAATTGCAGGTCGGTCCGTTTTGTTTCTATACAAAATTTATTAAATTCACTAAATTTACTAAATTGTGCAACTGAAAGATATTGTATTTCGCTTTAACTGCGCTAACAGATAGTTTGACTAGTACCAAACTCTCAACATAATTTGTTTGTTTCGTTTTAAATTTAATTTAAATTTAAAGTTACACTCAAAATTAAAATATAAAATAAATTATTTAATAAATTAAAGTCATAGGTCAATCAAAAATTAAAAATTAAAAATAAATAAATAAATAAATTAAACGTAAGTCATTTACTTGTACATTGTCCATTTTGAATTGCTAAAAGCTTATTTACGCTATCAAGTCCTTTTAATTATCTTTAGTTTTATTCATATCAGTTTTAAAGCATTGAAAACTTATTGTTTGAGAGCCTTTTTACTCTTCAAAGCACTTGTTGATTTTTTAGTTTTTTTAGCTGTTGCTGTTTGTTTCTTAGTTGTTGTATTTTTGGACTCACGTGCTTCACGTCTTGCTTCAATGACATCATCACCAATTATATCATCTTCATCATCATCATCATCGTCATCCGCTTCCTCTTCGTCATCATCACCTGTTATGGCACCTGTAATATCATCAACTCCATCATCAATATCATCATCATCATCTTCTTCATCATCATCATCATCAAATACACCGACATCATAATCGTCGTCTTCATCATCAGCAGCAGCATCAGCTGCCTGAGCCTTTGGTCCATTATTTGGTCTTAATAGGACATTAGCAGCTGATGCTGGCCGGCTTAGATGATTGGGACTAATCAAAACATTCTGACCACTACCACTACTTGTGTTTGTTGTTGTTGTAGTTGTGACTGTTGTTGGTTTTTTAAACGTGTTGGTTTGTTTGATTTGTTCTGACGATGTTGATAATGTTTGTTGACTGTTTCTAATGTGTGGTGTATTGCTACTACTAAGATTACTAATTCTACTGACATTACTACTACTACTACTACTAACTTTATTACTATTACTACTACTACTACTGCTACTATCTACTAGATTATTACTTGCTTCTTCATCATAAAAAACATTTATTTCACCTTCGTTGTTGTTACTCGTTGAGGCGATGTCATCGGCAGCATTGCCAGCAATTGAGGCGTCAGCTGAGTTACCATTTTCCGCAGGCACATCTAAACCATCGTTAATACCAGAGCTTACGGCAGACTGTCCAACGGGCGCAATATCCTCTAGGGAAGCAATTGGTGCGGCTGGTGCAGCAGCTACAGTATTTTGTACGCTAGCGGCTGGAACTACATCGTCATCTTCATCATCTTCGTCATCATCTGAAAATAATAATATAGTAAAGTAAATTTAATAAGAAAAACATAATCAGAAATATAAGAATATAAGGAAAAACTAGAAAAGTATGTATAAGCAAAGTGTAGTACATAAAATGCAGTTGATAGTTTGCTTGTCCTTAATGCCAAAGGATAACAATATAAATGGCAAAGGTGTATGAAAGTAACAAAAATTTAAATTTTATAAGGGATATAAGAGATAAAATAAGCGATAAAATATTAAAACCTTACTTTAATGTAATACTAACAATTATTAAACGCTTCTGCATTTAAAAAGGTGAATTAATATATGTATCTGTGCGCAGATATGGTATGAGCTAAAAAATAATTGAAAGCCCTTCATCAGTGGCCACAGGCTTTCAATTATAATAAAGGTACTACGCATTTTCACGATAACACTATGAGGAACTCTGAAGTGTACTGTCATCAGCTGAACAAATTGTATGATTCACTTCGACAGAACCTCTCGAAATTGATCAATTTATTAAAAGTTGTTCCACCAAATTGATAAGAGTGAGACCTCATACAGATTGTTGTGGATGGGATATATTGCTACATTCTCTTTTATTATTTATTCCAATATTTATAAACAGTACACGCTTTCAGAGAGTAAAACCTTTGTTTCAAAGGGGAAGTTAAAAATTATCCCAATTAGTTTTTACGAGCCAAGACCAATAATTTATTTGTGGAGGAAGGCGTTGAACCAGAATATGAATTTTAAATGCTTATTACTAAGCTTGGTTGGTTGGTTGCAATGACAGGCTAACAGATATCTTTCAATTGACCTCAATTAGAGTTTTTTCGACCTTGAAACCTTGAGATAGAAAGATACAGACTAAGTCCATCCCGTCGAATTTCGATTATTTAATAGATCTTGCATCTTTACTGATGAACAGTCTGATTAGCTGTTAAAAAAGAACTTCCTTAAAAACCTATTTCTTCTGGACGACAACGCCGGGACTTATTGATCAGATTGTGTAAAATATTGAAATGATTTAAATATAGACTAAATATATACAAAAATAAAAAACCAAGATCTTTTATTAATGTAATGTATAATATAAAATTATATCGTAGACAAAAATCCTAAGTGACCAATAAGCCTATTAATAAATATTCAAAATTATGTTGGCCCTAATAGTATATTGTGTTATATGATTTAAATTATATGTATATTACATGATGATAAAAAGGATATTACTAGTGTAGATAATATTAAATAAATTTGTGTGTAATTTGTGCACAGTACCACATCCTTAAATTTTTCTGATATTATATATATATGTTAATATAACACTATAATAATATATGAAATAATATTAATATTTGTTAATATCTTATATATACCTAATTTTCTTCTGTACGTGTTGTTGACAGTGAACTTCTCCTAAACGGCTGAACCGATTTTGATGAAATTTTTTGTGTGTGTTCAAGTGGATTCAATGAAGGTTTAGATTCACAATTTGGCCCACTGGATAATGTCTTTTTAATTAATTTTTTATTTTTTGGTATCCATATACATTTATATTAGAAATTTAAAATTTATCCAAGCTTACTTTGATTTGTTTAAAAAGTTTAAAATCTCTAAAATGAATCGTAAAATTGCATAGCTTAAGTGCATTTAAATTCCGCAGTATAATTATAGGTGAGCCAATTTTTAATCTTAAGTTATGTGTTGGTATTCCTGGTATTCCAGCGAATTCAAAAATTCAACAGGATAGCTGAACGATTCATTTTAGAGTTTAAACTTTTTAAACAAATCAAAGTAAGCATGAATAACTTTTAGAGGTCTAATATAAATGTATATGGATACCAAAAAAGCTGTATAATAATTAAAAAAACGTTATCCAGTGGACCAAATTGTGAATCTAAACCATCCTTGAATTCACTTGAACACACACAAAAAAGAAAAATTATAAAATAACGTACAATAACGTATATATAAAGGTATAAATAATGTAAAAAAAAAAAACTATATGAATATGAGTCGAATATCGACTATTCGTCACATTCACGAATTGTAATCGGTGCTATGAACAAACAGTGCCAACACTGTCATGCACTCAAATACAAAGGTGAATCGGCCGGTTTCTGCTGCGCATCTGGAAAAGTTGTATTGACACCATTGAATTCGCCGCTAGAACCATTGAAAGCACTATTGGCTGGAGCTACATCTCAATCTAAATTGTTTTTTTCGTAAAATTCGCAAATTCAATTCGTGCTTTCAAATCACATCATTTGGAACAACAAAAATCGTTCAGAATGAGATTGGTCGCAATTTTCAATCAACGCTTAAGATTCAGGGCCAAGTGTATCACCAAATTGGTTCTTTAATGCTGATGCCCAATAATGATCCCAAATTTCTGCAAATCTTCTTCATGGGTGATGAGAAGCAGCAAATAAACGCACGTTGCCAGTACAACCATATCGAGCAGATGGAGGAGCAAGAAATTGTGGGTATTTTAGAACCGTTTTTAAAAAATCACAACCAGTTGGTCCAGTTGTTCACTACCGTTTCAAACAGACTGCTAAACGACAACTATACAATCGTCATCAAAGTACCATCTGGGCAGCACGCGGACCGATATAATGCACCGATTATTAAAGAAGTTGCAGTTGTTATGGTTGGTGACGCATTTGAACGTCGAGATATACGAATACAACGCAGAGATAACACAGTGCATACGATTGCAGACAGTCATCGCTCTTACGACGCTTTGCAATATCCATTGATATTTTTTTTCATTTAAAATGTAGTGCTTATAAGGATTTGAAGTAACATGAAAATATTTGTAACATAAGTAATGCATGTGGACTTTTTGTAGTTCAAAAGAAAAAATCAATTTAAAATAATTTTCGCATTAAAATGCTAAAGGTTAAGTTGAATAACAACAAATATTATAACTCAGCTGAGCCAGGAAAATTAATTGCAAGGGGAAACAACGTTCGCCGGGTCAGCTAGTATACTATATATATAATATTATGATATCATTACTGTGTTTAAATACTCCCTATATCAACTTAAAGTTGAATTTTGAATTAATAGAGAAGGACTTTATATAAGCAAAAGTATTTGCCATTATCATAAATCACACTAACACTATTTATTAAGCTATATCATAAAAATATTAGATGCAATTATATACATAAAGTACAGTATAACTTACCACCCAAAATATCATCGAATAATCTATCCAAATAATCATCATCATCATCATCGTCATCATCATCGTTGGCACCTGATGCTGGAGCAGCTTGACCTTGTGGGGTATCATCTTCTTCATCATCATCATCATCCTCTTCGTCATCATCATCTGAAAGCCCCGAAATAAATACAACTGTTATATACATGAATGAAGAGACATGAAAAAAAAAATAAAAAATATTATGGACTGCAAAGATAAACAAATTTAAACGAATATCCTGTATACAGGGTGCGTATTGTATTGTAAAAACTGTGCCAATAGATCCAGAAAAGTAGCTACACTGAAATAACTTGCTAAGAACTAACAATAGGCAGTCACAAGTTGAAACTGTTAAAAGTTTAATAGATAGTAACAAAAATATATAGTTAAATAAGAACTGAGCATTAAAAATGCACTGTAGACGTCATACGTGTTTGTGTACTGTGCTTGAAATTCACTCGAATTTTTCTCCAGGTGCATAGGGACGACTATTAAAAAGTATTAAGTATTTAGCTTGAGAGATAAAACAAAATTAAGTATTTTTTTAAAGAAATAATAACGAAAAAAAATATGTTTGGTGAAAGAAAATTTTATTTACCATCATCATCATCCACAAGATCACCTAGATCTGGCTCATCATCATCATCATCTTCATCGTCGTCATCATCATCATCGGTAGAAGATGCAGCGGGTGCGACATCATTAACTCCACTGGCTTGTTGACGTGAGACTGCACGGGACTGACGTTCCAGATGATTGACGGGTGAGGCTTCGATTTGCAGCAGCAGCGCGCTAAGTACACACAGTAATATGACGAATTTCATGGTGCTGTAAAGAGAAATTGAACGTATTTAAATTAAGATAATTTATAATAAATTAAGCAAATTATTAAGAAAATTTTATATGCATTTTCGACATATGGTATCCTAATTTGTGTCGAAATGAATGACCACGTAAGTAAACTGAACATTTGCCAATTTCAATTAATTTCTTTATTTTTTTTTTTCTTGCTGGGTTGTGCCTTTGTTTGTTTAAATTAAGAAAGTCAATTTTCGACTTGTAAATGAAAGAAGTGAAATTTCTGAAGTTCAATAAAATTTCACTGCCTCTTCGTTTACATGCCAAAATGTCTTTCACGTCTCGCATACAAAATAGCATGCGCTGTCATAAATACGCAGATACATTAACGCAGATACAAGTGCATATGTGTGTATGCAAGTAAGTCAATAAATTTAAAAACAATATCAGAATATAAATTTTCTTTTATTTTGGTTTAATTTTATCACAACTTTTACTTGCTTAACTGCCAATTAACAGTCCAACTCACATTTGCCAACGAGCAATTCAATTATTTTATCTAATCGTTTGTCTAAATAACTGATTATTATGTAAACAGTGTAAATAATACATTATGTAGATACATAATCTGAGAATGGAGTTAAATTCATAACCTCACAGCAATTAAACATAACTCCGTGTATCTAAAGCATCAGGCACGTCATAATTATTAATGAATCCACATGAGGAAAAAGGAATTATTTTCATTCAATATTTACTCAGGTTGCCTTTAAGTTGAAAGATAAATTGAAAATATTAGATAAATATTGCTATGTCATTCAAGATATATAATTTGGCCGCGAGTGCTGTAAGTAATTATTTTCTGATTATGCATTAAGTTAAGTTCTCTTTAAACAGTGTATACTTGTTCATTATTGCTTATATTACGAGTATAGTAAAATATTACTAAAGGAAATATTTACTAAATAATTAGTAGTCTGATATTCTGGTTCCTTCCTTAATTTATGATTTTTAAAATATTTAATTCAATACAAAATAACATAATATGACTAAACTGAATCACGAATATTCACACAAACATACTGTTATAATACACAAGAGAACATCGTTATGGTTGCAAATTTGTTTTTATTTTCTTTGTACACACATTTTGCATAAGCATATTTGCTTTTTTGTGCTATTGCATCAGCTAACCTTCAACTCAACTCAAATGTGTAAATTTTACAATGAAATTAAAAACAATATTCTGCAATAAGAATAGTACGTTTATCAGTGGCAGCAAAAAACAATAACCAACGAATGTAATAATCAATACGGCTAAATTTACTACTGGAAGATTTTTGCTTTTATAATGAATGATATCATTAAAATAGAATAATATATTCTGAAAACACTTTGAAAATAAGAACAAATATAAAAAACATCTTAGTACAATGCAATGGTACTCAATTTTAAAAATTTTAAATATCACGTATTAATAGAGAAAGATCGGTACTTCAGATAAACGCCAAATTAAAGTGTTGGTTCATTCCTACAACTAATATTTTGGAACCCATCTCAGTAAAACCGAGCTGTGTTATTAAGAGATTATCTAATGAGTCATTATAACTTGCGTCAGTATATTGATGAGACAAGTATGTCTAAAGAGATAGAATGCTGGATTTGGATTTATAGAAAATTTGCATTATTATATCTTTAATTTAAACACAAGTTTCTTAACTTATTTCTTATTGAATTGCATGATGTGATATTTTTATTGAATATTGCATGAGTGATAGTAGACTCAAACAGACTGATTGGAATATATCAGAAGGGCAGAAGTTTGAGAAAATTATGAGGTTGTTAGCAATTAAATAAAGTCACGAATTTTTTTTTGTTCGTTATCAGTTGAACTAGTTGACAAGAACTTCATCCCAAAACCGGTTAACATATCGGGATTTCCGGGATGCCATGCTAGTGTTTTGGGACAACAAAAACAACAAAAACAACAAAAACAAGGCTGGTATAACAAATGCTATTCACTTGAAGCCACTACTGAATTAATTTAATTATACATTTATTTGATAAATTTAATTTATTTACTATTTTTTTTATATGGCACAACATGTATGTGGTGTGCATAATAACTACCTTCTCACTGCAATGTAATATATCACAATTGGCATAATAAAATAAGGAATTCAATATCCTCCGCATAAACCACTTAGTATGACATATCGTACAATCGAATTTTATTACAGATTTCTCCCTATTCGATTCCCTTACGAAGAAGTATTCACGCCAGAAAATATTTTTATGAAAGTCAAAATCGTGTTAAATTCAATGCCACAACAGTTCAATGTCGTTTTGTTTGCTGGCGCTCCCGCCGCTCCTGTCGCCGCCAAGGGAATATAAACAAACCTGGTGAGTAAGAGTGTATGAAATATACACGAATATTGACCACTTTTAGCAGCAATCATGTGTTTAGTTTTTTCCATCTGTGCATATCAGTTGTACTCGTTCGTTTATGGGTAACCCAAGCAAAATAGAAAATATCTCACTTCACGGTTGCACATAGAATTTTAATATTTTCACACTAAACATTCTGGTTACGTGCTCGCCACAAAGCACTGTTCTGCTCTGCGTGTATCGTCTACGGGTTTCTTCCACGGCAACAGCGGATGACACCCAAACCAGCCTGCACTTACGATTTGCACCTACCTACGTATGTATGTGCTACGGCGAATTTAAGCAACACACTTTGTTGTTACTTTTTTTGCATTTACTTTTCTTTTTTGTTTTTGCTTTTTTCAGTTGCTCTATGGATAGTTCAGTTGCTCATGTTTATTTCAGCTTTGGGGTTTTGTGCGGAGGATATTTTTTTTTTGTTTTGTCTTTGGTACTTTTTGTCTGCTCCTTTAACCATTTTGTGTGTCAACGCATGTTTTTCGCACACAAATTGCTTTTTTTTTGCCGCCACTTCAACTCTGCGCTGTGTAGTGTTTTGTGTTATCATTTTTTTGCTTTTTGTGTTTGTGTTTTGTGTTTTGCGTTTTGCACAATGCGAGGAACCTTTTAACATTTTGTAGGTTTCGCTTGGATTGGAAGTTACAGTGCACAAGTGCCGCTGCTGTACAATGAAGTAGTTACGATTTAATAAAAAATCTGCAAAAAGAGTTGAAACCTTGCGAAATATGTGTGCATGCCTTGCACTCGATTAGATTTTATGAGCACTGCTGCACAATGGAAATAAGTTGCATGCATTTTTTGCATATTTCCATTTTGCACTTTATTCAGTTTTTATCACTTTTCAGAAAAAGGTGAAAGTTTTGTTTATGTCCTTTAGAGAGATTTTTTTTTTTTTTAATATTTTAGTTTGAAAATTGTGCAATATTTTTTGTTTTTCCTTTTTTTTGAAAATCATTTTGCATTTAAATCATGCGTTATGTTACTTATGCAGTGCAGTCCAACAACAAAAATCTTTGAGTAATGTGACACCTTTTTTGGGATATGCAAATAATTCAGCTAAAAGATATGTACATATATCAGAGTATATGTGTCAAAACATTATGCAGAAGGCTTTGAAAAAATGTAAATTACATTTTGTTTTTTTTTTGTTTTTTTCAAAAAATGTGCCTAAAAATAATATCGTTTTAAAATGTATTAGAAAGTAGAGCAATGAAATTGGAACATATTCTCTTTATCAGATATCGGATAAGAGCGCAAAAAGATATATCAACAACGCGCAACAATTATGAAATGTTGTTCTGTACCCTAGGTCATAACTGGCGGGTGTGTTAATGAGTCTACATATCTAGTGATTGGAAGTTATTGTTGTTTTAATGAACCACCATTACTCAGCGGGCGTTGTGTTGTGAATATTGTATATTTGTATACTTAAAAATAGAATGAGAATAAATTATGTATCAATGAGTGTTTGTTATGATAAACAAACTATCATATAAGCAAAAATGTGTGAAATATAAACACAAATCATATAATGCGATTAACACTAAACTTATTGTAAGCAGTGGCAACCCTGTTGCCAAGTTTAAGTCAAAAAAAATTCAAAAATATTTTTTAAATGCATATAGCAAATCAAATAAATGCGATGATTATTATGTTTATTGTCAGCAATGGCAACCCTGCATTAAGAGTACTCAAAAGAAAAATTTACTCGAAAAAATTCTTCGAAAGATCTATGCTGTGAGTATTGAACGAGCATAGAATTAGATGAAAGGATGAGCTCTACGTGAGATACCAAGAAATTGACATAGTTAAGAGCATAAAAAATTTAGCGGTCCTGTCGTGTGAATGGAATAAAATGCTTGGGATAGGAAGATACTTGATTCGTTACCCACAGGTGAAAAACGTGATACAGGATATTTGCATTTTCGGTAGAAGAATGAGGTAAAAAATGGTGTGCAGACATTCGATACCACCAACTGGCGACAGCAAGATACTGATTGGGTGTCTGGACCAGCCTACTGGATGCGGTCAAGAATGACTCATGTATGTACTGACCAACTTTAAAAGTAAGTAAGTGGCAACCCTAAGCGTGGTTAACTAATTGTCAGTTAATATACTTAAAAAAGACTTGAAATATAAACAACAGTTAATAATTAAAAAATATATTGTAAGCTGTAGTTATCATTGTTGTTGCTAGGAGCCAAGTAACGTTATCAATAAAAAATTATTCATTTTTAAGCATTACCTAAAATGTTTTCTTGCACTTGAGGCCATAGTCTTAAAAGAGATCAACTATCAAAAGCTATTTTCATGATGTCCGGTTAGAACTAACTTATTCGGACATTTATTGGAAATGTGAATTTTATTTTCTTAAATATACTTTTAATAATACTCTTTACTTTCTATATTTTTATATTTTTATATTTATATTTCTTCTCTCATATATTGTTTTATAATGAAGGTTGTTATGGTACTTAAGTCCATCATAACTTTTCTAAGGTAAAAATATGCTATTATTATTATTTTTCTCTCACATTTTATTTTATAATAGAGGATCTTATGGTATCAATATTTTTCA